TTGCCTTTTGTTGCCTTCAGTCAGTCTATTAATGGTAGGTTTTGGCGCTGTTTTTTTTTTACTTAATTATTAAAGTGCATTGTCTTGGGGCTATTTGAAGCTGAAAAACAAAACTTTAAAATACAGAAACAAAGACAGGCTACTCTTGTCAGTGTCAGCAAATAAATAGCATTAATCTGTCTTCATTACTGCCATGCATGGTGCAATGCAAGAGTCCACCAGGTGGGAAGAGGCATAATATCTTTTAACTACTCTATGAGAGGTACGAATTAAGCTGAAACTTAAACAGAAAAGTCTTCTTTGATTGGCAAAGAATAGTGATAGTCATTTTGCCTTCAGAAGCTTTTTGACATCTTTCTATTAGGATACTGAGAGAGTGCAGAACTGTCTGACCTGAGCTGTCATCACCAGTTCTCAATGGGAGGAGCCTCAGTGCCATTTGTGACTTTGGAAACTCTGCCTTTTCTGTACGCTGTAGTGGGTTCTTATTCCAGCTGGAGTTGCGTCTCTTTCCTGCTTTATTACTTAAAAGTATGAAGTTTTAATTAGCACATAGTTACAGTTTAGAGTGCTTTAAAATATGTCATATCCTTAAAGGCATTCAGCAAATGGATGTTTGCTTCCTCCATCCCCACCTCGAAAATGAGTTATCCAAGCAATCTGTGCTAAATGTGTTTAAGAATAAGGATTGGACACGCACAACAAGCTTATGTGGCAGTGTAAATCAGAACTGTGATATTCAATTCAGTAATTTACATTATCTGTAGATCTGGACTATTAATTACTGGAAGTCTACCTTTTTAAAAGCAATTTTTTAGTCACTTTGACATCTAACCATCTGGCTTCATTTTCCCCTGGTATGCCCTTTCAGGCATGAATGTTAGGAAGCTTTGCTTAAATATGTAGATTACCTAGGCAGCATGCAGGAGATGGTGAAAGATACCGCTTTGATTGCATGGGTTCTTTCTTTGCAAAGTCGTCTTGGTTAGACTTCACATACCAGTCAGTAATGGATTTAATTTGCTAGTCTCTCTACTATGGCTCTCTATTACTGTTAAGAATTTAACTGATGGGATAAGAAAAAAATGCTGGCTGGTGTGAGTATGTACTGCAGCAGCTAGTTCCCCTGTGGTGGCAGCAGAAGAGGTTCTTTATGGAGTGCCTATGAGCCTGGCCACTTTTGGCAGTTTGTTCCTCTGGTACATCTTTGTAAAGCATAGGTGTGATGTATTTTGGGAAAAATAACGGCTATTGCACCACTATCCACACAAAGCGTATGTCATGGCCTATTTGCAATTATTTTGTTAAAGATGTTTTCGTACCCATTTGTCACAGGTTTATATGCCTTTTCTATATGTGCATGCATTGGTGCTGCCTCTCACCCTGAGTATGCTTACAGATCGCAGCTCTGGCGCTGCTGGGTCTATTATTCCCAGCCCAGAAGCCTAGCCCTCTTTGGCTTGCCACAGCTCCATCTTAGGAGGCTGAATCAGCACCCTCACCCTGCAGAGCTGATAGTTCAGAGTATTATTACAAAGTCAAATAAGCAGAAGCTGTAGACTGGGCTGTGAACCCACAGAGATCTGGGCTACTTTTAACAGGCTGCTTATTTGGAACAGGAGAGCTCCTCAGGTCCAGCCTGAGATTCATAGCATACCCTTTCATACAGTTCCTACACACATGGACTGTAATTTTCTTTAATACCAGAGAACAATCTCATCTATAGAGTAAGATCAAATGCTTGGACACAGTTCTGTTCCCCTGAGGGATATGATTTTACCCAGCACAATATTTCCTGAGGCAGCTGAGTTATTGACTGCATATATACTATATGCTGCTGCAGAATGAAAGCCTCTGTAAAATAGCCTTTAATTGTCACCTTGTTTTGTTGTTATTGTATCTTTGTGTGTGCATTTAGAAGGAGGTTCAGGATACAGAAGATCTTTGATACCTGAAAGAGCTTTGGACCCATCCACTTTTTTTCCTGTAGTCCTGCTTAAATTTCTCCATTCATCAGATGTGGAGACAACCATAGAATCACAGAATAGTTAGGGTTGGAAAGGACCTTAATATCAGCCAGTTCCAGCCCCCTGCCATGGGTAAGGATGCCTCACCCTAGATCATATCACCCAAGGCTCTGTCCAGTCTATGGTGTTGGCAGGGGTATATGCTCCTCCACCTTTATAGTACTCAGTCACTGCCTCCTCCTGTCTCCCCAGCTGCCAAAGCAAGAGTGTACTCTTGTCATCTGTCCCATGTAGGAGAAAATGCCCTACTGTTCTCTGCTACCCCAGCTTCAAGATTGTCCCCACTATTGTTGATAAAGCCTGAAGGTAACTCATGTAATTAAGAGTTGAGGGACGTTTTGAACATGCTGCTAATACAAAAACCTGCAAAGTTTTTTCAGTAACTTTGGGTTTGTAACATTTGTGACATCTCAGTTAGCGTTAACTAGTTCATCAAAAGTAATAATTTGTAAATGGTTACATTTAAGTTCCTTAAAACCTTTCTTAGAGAATGTATTTCCTAATGTCAGTCTAATTTTTCTCTCTCTCCAGTTTAAAACTGAGTTTCAGTAGCTTAGATTTTTACATATATTTTATTAATTCAGCAAGGGTGATGTACCTTTGTATGAAGAAAAGTATCTTGGATCCAATTAAGACCCTCTTCACTCTAAAAAACAGTGACAGTGCTGAGAATTTTCTGGTCTTGATGTGTGTGTCTGAATTTCCCAGTTTGTGTGTATTTAACAAAACCCATCATCAGCCTATTGGAAGTCTCATTTTCTAGGACCATTGAACACTGAACATTCCCAGTGAGCTGCAATTACAGGAACAATTGGGCTGAATAACTTTGGACTGATGGGGTGTGAATATTAGTCCTCCCAGCTTCCCCTTTCTTGTTTTGGTTGGTGTCTGACAGTGCACAGGGTTACAGTAGGAATACTTTGGGGGATGTCGATGTGCTTCAGAAACTCTGGCATATCTTGATCTGCCTGTGAATTATACTTGGATTAATTACACTTGTTTTATGACTCTATAGGCCTAATAGCCTCATATTTGCAGTTGTATTTTGGTGTTGAGAAGAAAAAGGGCATGGTGTGTTTTACTGAAGGTGAAGCATCTTCAACTCCCCTCACATAATTCTAATTCCACTTTCAAGTCATAGAAGCATAAGTCAGGAGGTGGAGCAGGTTTCACGTGTTTCCATAGTGATGGATGTACGTCAAGTGTATGAGGTACTTAACCTAAGGAAAATTATAGACTGAATTAAAAAATCTACCTTCATTATTAACGTTGTGGTTTGCTATTTTGCATTCTTTTTTTGGCCCAGTGGAAAGTGTTAATATATATATATTATAGTGAGACTGAAGAGCTCAACCCCCCCTTAGGAATCCTACAAAGCACTTAAATAACATTAACTTTTTGCTAATTTACTAGAGACTGGTAAATTGATACCTAATGCCGACACATGGGTTGTGCACTCATGTAACACTGGCCACCAGTGTCGGTGTGCTCAAGGTTACCAAGTCCCATTATTAGGAGTCAGCACTCTGCCTCCATGTACTTTATACAGGTCTTGTTCTTGTCTCTGCTAGCTCTCTGCATCAAGTGCCACACACTGATTTCGACGTAAATTTTCACGTGATGATTCTTTTCAAATGCATGTGAAGTTATTTCAAGTCATGGAAGAGCCTATACATGGTATAGGGTGTCTGCCCTTGCTGGCTGCACCTGAGTGAGGTCAAAAAGCTGCATAGTTGGGCTATAGGCTTGCTTGTTTTGCCACACTTACAGCTAACCCATCTCAGGTTGGCTACCCAACTGAAAATACAATGCAAACATTGCCTAACCTCTGCAGGCAGCCAAATTATCTGTGGTTTAGAACTGCAAGCCTGTTATCTACAGTGAGCACAGAACAGACTTAAAATATTTGCTATGTAGTATGTAATTGATATGTAAAATGTAATCATTGAAACCAGCTATATAAACAGAAGGTAATCCAGTAGCTTTAGCAGGTACTTCTCCAGTCCTACTCAAGCACAGATGGAAATGCAGACTAAATTGTGTAAACCAAACCTCCATGAAGTAATACATAAATGGTGATGTATTGTGACAAGATAGTTAACAAAGTGGAAAGGCGAACATCTGTCTCTTGCATACGGATTGGCAGGTACAGTGAAGACTTGAGGTACATGAAGTCTTATAGAGAAACTAGCAGAATATTCCTGTGTAAAACCTCTCCCTAGTCCAATTTCTAAAATTACTTTTTCCACTGTTCTAAAAGGATGAACTGACTGAGGAGGAAAAAGGTAGTTTCTTATATGCTTGTCTGGCATTACAGGGTATTTATACTCTGATCACGAAATGAAAATAGGTATGATTCAAAGTTAAGACGTCCAGAAGTAAGAATTGGAAGGTCTATAGGGAAAAGAGTGAAGGAATGTAAAATGGGAATCTGTCATTCTAATAAGAAATATTTAATTGATAATTATATTTAATTAAAGTATACTTAATTAATAAATATAGAATCATAGAATAGTTAAGGTTGGAAAGGACCTTAAGATCATAAAGTTCCAACCCCCCTGCCATGGGCAGGGACACCTCACACTAAATCATATCATCCAAGGCCTCATCCAACCTGGTCTTTAACACTGCCAGGGATGGAGCATTCACAGCCTCCATGGGCAACCCATTCCAGTGCCTCACCACCCTAACAGGAAAGAATTTCCTCCTTATATCCAATCTAAACTTCCCCTGTTTAAATTTTAACCCATTACTCCTTGTCCTATCACTGCAGTCCCTAATGAAGAGTCCCTCCCCAGCATCCCTATAGGCCCCCTTCAGATACTGGAAGGCTGCTATGAGGTCTCCATGCAGCCTTCTTTTCTCCAGGCTGAACAGACCCAACTTTCTATAATCAATTATTAGAAGACCTAAACCCAATATGTAGTAAAGAGGTGTTCTATGTTCTTTCCTTTGTTTTATATTTCCTACTTTCATATGTGCATACAGTGGTAGCAAGCTCCAGCCACTCAAGGATTACATTTAAAATGAACAGATAACACTTGTGAGCCCTCTGATGGAAGAGATGTTAAACTCAATAAAATGGTAATTTATTTTGTTGGGCTAAATTTTTGTTCTCATGCTTGAATGCTATTGCATTCTTTGAAAAAAATGTCATCTGTGAAAGGTTTGCACTTAGAGATCTTCCAAACTCAGAACAAGTAATTGAAGTAGTGTCCACAAGTACAACATGTTTTTACAACAAGTAATCTTTGTACCCTTTATCACACTTCTGCTGTCCCTTTCTCTTAAATTCTCAGACAAAACAGAAGAGAGGTGAGGAGACTTTTCCTTAACAACATGAACATAGTAAGATTCTCTCTGACTGTAAGCACTTTTGTTTTAGTTCATCTTCAGGTCACGCTAGGACAGCAGCCAGGTGAGCTTACTGTGAAAAACACCCAACTTCCCTTCACTATAAATAAGGTTTCAGAAGTTTATTGTTCTTAGTGGGATGAGATGAGAGTAGTTGGATGACTGTGGTAAAAAAAATCTCAAGTTTTTCTAAATATAAGTAGCTTGGGCTATGAAATGAAACATCCATTTAAAACCTTCCTTTCCTCATACATAGAATTAGAGGAGCACATGGCCAAATAGAGCCATGTATGACTTTTCACAGGATTTCCATTGTTGTGCTGTAGTTCAAGCCACAGAGGATGTATATTGTTGTTTGGTAAAACCACTGGACTATTTCCAGAGTAGGATTATCCCAGCAACTGGATTCTGAGTGCTAACAGGTGCCTGAGAAGGGCAATGGGGATTTGAGCAGCACAAACTTATTTGTTTTCAAGAAGATCATAGACAGATACTTTTTGTTGTTGTTGTTGTTGTTGTTGTTTATGGTAGAAAAGCACAGGAATATGGACCATCCAGGTGCTAGTTGCTATGGAAAGCATATCACATCCTCCAAAACCTTTCCATTTAATTGTATACGTCACTGACTATCAAGTGGAGTAAATTTCATTTTTTCTTTAAAACTCCAGACTGCAAAATAAAAACAGGCATCTCCATTGCAGTTTTAAGCTTTCTGTTTTCACAGGCACTCTCGGGAAGAAAATTTTTTCCTTTTTTTTTTTTTTTTACTGTTCCATCCAGTTTTATTGACATAGTAAATTACTGTATTGGGTTGTAGTGGTACACAGTTAAGGGTTAGAGGTTTGTCATTGTTTCTGTGTATTTATAGCCTAATTCTCCAGACTTCTCATGATATACATGATTTGTTCCCAACCTGCATGTTATTGGGGTTGTATTTCACCTTTGGAAATACCTGCATCATGCTGAAATCCATGTCTACTTGAAGACTACATGAAAAACACCACCTGTATACAGAAAACTTCATATATTGCCATTGAAAACAAAGCCAAGATACTAAAGTCAAAACTAAGATTGTACAATGGTTCAGATACACTTTCTCAACTGCTTTTGTGCACGAAGGTGATTTAGGTGAATGGGTTTCAATAGCCAGACTAGTCTGTACTCAGATAACTCTTCTGCTCCTAAGCTGCCTTCTTTGTAAAATGGCAGTAATTATAACCAGCTTTGATATCTAAGGTCAAAAGTGAGAAATATTATTATGATTTATTTCCCTATTTTCATAGGTTTTATGACACGTCTTTTTTATGTCAGTAGAAGAGGTACATATATGACTGGTTTGGATATAAGTCATAATTTTCTTTTTTACAATATAGAGAATATCTAATTTTTTTTTCTTTCCCCTCTCTAAATGCTTTTAAGTACGTTGATCTAACAAAATAAGTAATGGGAAGTAACCTACGTATGAGATGATAAGGGGTCTAGAGCATCTCTCTTATGAAGAAAGACTGTGGGAGCTGAGCCTGTTTAGAGAAGACCAAGATGGGATCTCATTAATGCATATAAATATTTCAAAAGCAGGTGCCACGAGGATGGGGCCAGACTCTTTCAGTGGTGCTCAGTGACAGGATGAGGAGCAATGGCCATAAATTGAAACACAAGAACTTTCACGTCAACATGAGGGAGAACTTCTTTATGTTGAGGTTGTCAGAGCGCTGGAATAGGCTGCCCAGGGGGGTTGTGGAGTTTCCCTCTCTGGAGACATTCAAAACTCACCTGGATGCATTCCTGTGTGACCTGCTCTGTGTGGCCCTGCCTTGGCAGGTTGGACTAGATGATCTCCAGAGGTCCCTTCAAACCATAATAATTCTATGTGATTCTGTGTTATAGATATTATACCTTTTAGTTCAGTTTATATAATTCTTTCTTCATTGTTCTGGTTACATATTGTCACAACTTACCAAAATGAATATTTTCATATAAAAATGAATATTTTTATATTAATTTTTTTTTTATATTAAAAAAAGAATCTAGGTCCCACACAAATTTGTTCTATGAAGTAAAACTGCAAATACTTTTGGAGGTTTTCCAGGCAAAAGGTCACATGTTAATAATTATATTTATTAGCTACAGAAGTATTACCATTGCAATCATAACTGCACATTGCAAAAATTACAGTTTTGGAAGGTAAGCAGTAGAATTGAGAGATATGTGAAGACATTTCATAAAGGCAATCTTTCTGAAATCAATATACAGAATCCCCAAACAGCAGGCGCCTTTAGCCAGGTAACAAATACAGTGTTTGAGCTTTACGGAGTGACTTACACTTAAGCTGAATAATATTTTTTAAACCTAATGCATAATATTCTTTGTATCAGTATAAATTCAGTATATAAAATCAGAAAAAATCAGTATAAATACAACAATAATAAAATAATCAGGACAGGAATTTAAAGTTACAGTGTTAGTAATGTAACAAGACAAGTTTATCAAAATTAGAGACAATGAGGGTTTCTTGCCAGGAATTGGGCTATTGCTGTGATTAACTGGTTTGCTTTCTCATGAAAATGTAAATTACATTAAAAAATAGTAAGTGCTCAAAAATCTATGCTTGTACTATTTGTTAACCATTTTAAATCTTAGTAGTACTAAAAAACTAAAATTACTGTTATTGCTTTGGGTGTTAAGAATGAATTTTTTCATGTTCAGAAAGGAACTCCAAGAGAGGAAAAGCCCAGAAGCACTTTACCATCTGCCTGAATAAAAAGCTTCACCATCCTCAAAAAAAAAACCTAAGTCCTTGCACACTGCTTAGAAGGGTGAATTCCAATCTGTGGTTTTGGTTTAGGAATTCGTGAAGGACAGAGAGATGGTTCTAAACAATCCTCAGTCCGGGATCGTGCTTTGAGCTACAGATACCAATAATGGCAATTTCAGATGTATTATGAAATTGGGATGGTTCACAATTTTAATTTTCTTTATTATCTACTTACAGACAGGGGGATTATTGAGTAATTAAAGAAGATGCTTTCTCTGTATGTATGGATTATATATTATCTCCTAAAAAGTCTCAACAACTTGGGGGAGATGTATCTTCTTACCTTTTTGAAACACCAGAGAAATGCACTGGAGGGGGGGTATTGTGCATCTTGCCAGTTTGTTGCATCTAGGTTACAGCATATATTGTATTTATTCACACCTATTTGCTACACCCAAAATCTTATTACAGGGAAAATAAGTACATATCATATACAAACAGAGATTTTATTGTTGTTATAAGTCTTAACAGATTGATCAAAGAATAATCATTAGTCTGCTTACAACTGTATTAACTTATGATTCAAATTATACACAGTTAAGATTAGTGAAGTCTAGTATCTCCATGTTTCTTTGGTGTTACTGTCGTCCTTTCACTGCGTTTCAGGGTCCTAAGGTTCAGCCTTTGGTTCAGGGCAGGGGAGAAGGATTACAGTCATCGGCATAATAGTCCTTTTTGAGGAGAACTGTGATGTTGATCTGCGTTTCCCTCCTCTTCACTTTTGGATCATTTTATACATTTTACAATATGATCTATGCCTTGCTGCTTCTTCATTGGTTCACATTTCCACATTATTATGTGTTGTACCTTTTAAGTTAAACACATGTTCATTGTTTGCTTTTATATGTTTAAGGCTGTTTTAACCCTGCTTACATGGTTGCATTCCTTTAATGACCATTAACTGAATACTGGTGAAATATTGATAACCCTCTGGCCCGTGGTATCATCCTGCGCCCATAGTTTCAATCACCTGATATCAGCCCATGCCAGTATTCCTCCACTTTTCATTTTATTCTAGAATCATAAACAGCTCATTCTGCACTGCTTGCTAATACTCCGTACAGTTCCCAAGCTAATATAAAGTAGGTAACAGTTACCTGATCATTAGATAATTGTTGTTACAGCTAAGCAAGTATAAATATGGCTTCCATTAGGCCAAAACAAGTCCAGACAGAGCTTGAGAGGTGTTGAGTTCTCTCTTGCTAGCTTAGTGAAAAGCCTGTTGCAAATAACACTGTATTTACCAAGCAACAAGGCTACAAACAAGTGTAATCCCAAAGCCCTCGCTTTAGGGATTAATGCAAGTATGAATGAAGTACCTCCTCATTGGTTAGCAGTGAAATACCTGTAATACAGGGCACAGAACCAAATTTCTTATTTGCTTATATTTTTGCAATGGTGGAATAGAGCTATAAGGAAATAGAATTAACAAAAGACATCGCTATGACCCTCCTGAACAAAAATAATCTTAAATACTTCAGATTCTCGGGCTGCTCGGTAGTTTCTGTGAGCTATCCTCAGGCTTGCACACTAGAGAGAGCCCTTAGATCTGGATGTTTTCTACTTGGGCTGCTAATGTTGGTTAGAGAAGCCATTTGGAACAGTTTCTTCTCTGGCCCACAATCAAAGGAACCTGACTTGTTTACCTACTCATCATCTTCTTGTATGAGAGCACTGAGACATTATACAGTGCCAAGAGGATTATGTAATCACTATCCCCCATCCTCCCTAAGTTTACTTGATTAACATATTTATTGTATATCTTAATTAGTAGATTCCTAGCTTTAGGCTTCAGGCTGTTTTCTCTTCCTTACAGCCTTCTCCAAACACACTGATTTAATTTTAGAAATTCTGTAACATAGGAAATTTTACTAGTTTTAAATATTTGTTTTGTTATGGCTCTTGTATATAAAGAACCATAATAACATGGTAAAAATGGTTTGAGAATTTGCTTCTGAGAGGGAACAGCTTCTTCCTTTGCACTCCATTAGTTCTCAGAAAACTCATTCATATGGGCAAAGATTAAAAATAAAAATTGGATGTCCTTAACATGAATGATTTAGTAACAGCTTTTGTCATTGAAAGAATGTAAAGGAAAACAGAGGGTGGTATTGATCCCTTTCTAGCTCAAGAGTTGGAAATGTAGATATGTCTTTGTGTAAGTCACTCCAGAAAGGAGTGCCAAGCCAATTCCATATCTGCAGAAAGCACAGATAAAGAGAGTGCGGTCTCTTCTTATTCAATAGTTCAGTGATTATTGAAGTCATCTGTCAAATGATATTGCAGTTACTTGAGCACATTTTCTACACTGGATGGAGTTTGCTGACCACTATATTGCAGCATATTATGATTCAGGGCTCTTGCAATCTGTTTTGCTGAATTGTCTGTGCTTTTATAAAAGTTATAAAATATATTATAAAACAATAGTTGATGGAGCAGGGACTTGAATCCTGCCCTGACAACAGTGCTATCAGTATGTTAGTTGTCATCTTGCATGGTCTGTTTCTTCTTCCTACAAATATTTCCTGATTTGGAGGACAGGGCAACAGCTTTAAAAGGATGCTTCAGGATATCTGAGTTGACTGGATTAGGTTGCCTTGGCACCTGGTGACTCCTGGACTCTGTCCTTGGTGAGATTCCTTATGGTGGGGAAGGGCCCTTCCTGCCTATATATGTGGTTGCAAATTCCACCAGGTAGCAGGCTGACTACAAGTTGTCCAGTGCAATGCAGTTCCTGTGGATCAAGCTTAATGCTACCAGCAGCTTGTTAATGCAACAAACAGGGTTTTGTGAGGTTTTTGTCCTTGTTTTTCAATGTACAGAAAATACAGAGGATAGTTTGCACCTGTACTACTTGGTGCACTGCATAGATCTTTTTCATGTGTTTTCTGTTTCTAGATACAATTTATGAAGCATCATTTTCTTGCTATGGAGGTATGCAGCAAAATTATGTCCTGGAATTTCTTAAGTGTGTATGAGAGAATCCCTTTGTGTTGTTTCTTTCTACACTCCAAATCAAGGAGCAACAAATATAATTTATCCCCAAATTACATTAAGAGTAACTTCTCATACTGTTATGCCTTTAAAGGACTTCGAACATACCTGGGGCTCTGCATAGCTCTTATCCTAGGAACAATTTCTCCTAAAGTTTCACTAAACTTTCTGGCTTGACTTACATGAAAATGATCCCATAGGATGGAATGAGGCCAAACATTGGATTGGCCAAAATATGAGATGATGAGTATAATTGAGGTTTTATTTATTATGTGACTTGGCGTCATGATATCTGAATTATCTATACAGGCCTACACAAGCCATATAAGAAAATGTGCCTGCTAGCTGGATTTTGTGCCTAGACTTAATCATCCATATTTTGTTTCCTCTCCCTCTCCTCTTCCTCTCCCCTCCAAGGAAGTTTGTAACACCAGTCTGACTTTCCAGTGCCTAATTCCTGTGTCATGCAGTGAAATTCCACTGATAGCTTTCCCAAAAGTACACCTCCATTTGAAGGCTAGGAATGGGCTGGCAATTCACTCAAGTTTTCTATTTTTAACTGAATTTCTGCATCTATTTTAGCTAAATGTTAGGAGCCTTGTTTTCCCCTTGGGGATATGCTTGTGGTGAGCCCATTGTCAATCAGGTCAGTTAGTCTGTGTTTTTATTGTTTTAGGATGTCAGAATTGAGATTTTGCTCCCACAAAGCACACTATGAATTGTAGTTTCCGTTTCTTTGAATTTATCCCTGCTGGTTTGTCTAGATACCTTCAATACAAATCTCGAAGGAAGAATATAATGATTATGAATCATTACTGAAGAAGTATTTCCATCAGTTAAAATTTGCTTTGTCAGCCAATTCCACAGATCATGATAGTCTGAGGAGAGGAAATATTTAAAGTCTCTTGCCCATGGAAGCCTGGGAATCAAACACATTCATTTAATATTAATTTTGGATCATGAAAAGTACAAAATTCCTTTGTGTATGTATTTTCTTGCATGAACTTGGAAACATACATTCAATGAATTCTGCAAAAGTGTTATGTTGGGAAATAATATTTTCACAGGATTATTAATACCAAATATTAGTTCTCTATAAAAACCATATATTTAATTACTAAAATTAATTAAATCTCTTTTCTTTGCATGAAGTCTGTGAGAGCACTGTGATTTGCAAAAACCATTTGGTTATTTGGAGTAAATCTGGCTCTTTGGATTGCTTAAATATTCAGTATTCAGAGTGTACCTACTACTTTTCCTAAATTCCTTGATTTAACAAATGCCATTTGTGAACCTGTTTTGTAAATAATAATATTGTGTACACACTACAACTGATATACTGGTAAAAGTAGTGATATAGCTATGGTCTTATGAATATGTGTCATACTAACCTTACTAATCCTTTTCTCTTCAGAGCAGTAGTATTGCAGATAAAAGTATGTATCAACACAGTTGTAAGCATAAAGCGTTCTGCCTACAAGAGCTTGCCATGAGAATTCTAATGTGAATGTTGTGGTCTCTTAAAGTGTTTCAAATTCAAGAAACATAATTGTTCAATACAATATGTTGATGTTCTGAACTAGGAATTGGGAGAAGTGTTTCAATGAGCAAGTTTCAACCCTTGCTCATGGTTTCTGTAGGTGTTATTACATGAAAATTTGTTAACTAACTGGATCTTCCTACCCAAAGAAATCAGTTTAAAATCTATTTCTGTTTTCTCTACCCTGATTTTTTTTTAATTGCTTTTAGTTGAATCTTCTCTGCTCCATTGGAAATAAATGGCATTACTTAGAAGACTGTGTTTTCTTTTCTTTTGTTTTGTTAACAAGTTTTTCAATGACTTGATGTAATTCACAAAATTGTGGAATGAATAATGGTTGACCTTATGGCTTTATCCCAATAAGTAATTAAGAGAACCATGAAATAAGGAAAGAAAATTAAACTATTTAGAAAAGATTTTGCTAAAGCTGTGGAAGAGCCACTGACAGTGCTCTAAACCAGTACTTTCCTTGAAAATTTCTCGTATCTCTAAAAGAAAGCTGTTATTTATACATAAACAGAGAAAAAAACACATTATTTGTATTTATCAAAATGTCTGTTACTGAATGTCAGTCATCACTAGGTAATTGCTTTCCACTTAATAATGACATTGCCTTGAGCTTTTTTGGCCTCATATGGTTGTACTCAGCAGTTTTGGAAGTGAAAGAAATATGCAGTTTGACAATTCAACTGACTAATGGTGAGAATGCCCTCTTATAATGTTTGTGTGGGTATTTATAGATGCATATACAAATACATACATTTTTATAGCTTGTCTGCATGTGGCTCATGAAGCTACATTAAATGACCATTGGCTATATGGTATTTAGGTGATTTAAATGTAAAACAACAACTAGCTCCACTGAAAACAAAGAATTCAGCACCATTCTGCTGTTCTGCAGTATTTTATACTGAGGAGGGGAGAGGAGAAGATCAGATTCTGCTGACATTACGCATACTAAGAAATTTCTTCTCTTGGATTCCCAAGGTTTCATTACTATCATTCACACTGCAAGGCCATATTCAGTGGGAGAAAGCATGGCAGAATTTGCTCTGATTTAAACCAAAAATAAGCGTCCAGTTTTTCAGTACAGTCCCTCATTGACTTACATTGAGAGCTCTTTGAAAAAATGGCATCCTATGGCCCTATTCTGTTTCTTACAATACAACTTGCAAAACTTACAGAGCTGTGTTTCTTTGTAAATATCTGTTAATATGAAATGATTACAGTCCAGCATGTAAATGTGTGTCTTATTAGTAATGTGAACCAGCTTTTCCTATTAACTCATGAACTGCAAATTAAAATGTAATGGATCTCTAGGTTTATCAAATTATAAAGGAAGCCACTGGAAATATAGCCCATAACAACTTAAGCACAGCTTATACTGCAGCCTCTGCAGACACCCACTGCACTTGAGGCTGAAAGAAGTTTTCCAATGCACTGCGCAATTTTAGTCCCAACAGATAGGCTAAAAATAAAACTGTCAAAATACCTTACTACCTCCTACAAAGCATTGAAGACATTTCAGTAGTAAGGCTCACAGTAAAGGCATTCGGGTCTGATCTCTAACCTAGTGATGACAATTTATATACTACTTTGATTACACTTTATTCTTGAAAGCATGTGGAAATATCAGTACAAGCCATCAGCACTGGTGACTATTGACTTTGAACAAAGAATTCTGCAACTGTCTATAAAAATCATTATTGGAAGACTGAATACAATTATGGGTTTTAGAAGCAGAGAACAATGAATTTTTTTTATCTTCTCGGAATTATTTCAGAAAAAAATAAGGCAAACAATTCCACTTCATGTGAAATTGAACCAACGGTGCCATTTTGCATTTTTTGTTATTAAAAAAAAATATGGAAATATCAACTAGTCAATGGTAACATGAACTCCAAGCAATGTGGATAAAGGATTTTTAGGCACAGATCGGGGAGAAGACGGAGTAAGTGAGAATTCATTTAGTTTACAGCAGTGCCTGATGAAGTTCTTTAATAAAAGAACTCAAGTTGTTTTGAACCTTGGTGGAAAAAAAGGGTGTGAAGGAGAAACAGCTGAATTTAACAGACCTTCCAGACTAATAAGATGAATATTTAGTGCACAAATTTATGAGGTGTATTGTGTTTACAGTCTCATCAGCTCATTGTTATTTGGTAATATCTAAATCCAAGAAAGAGTGTATGTTATTTATTTGAGGAAGGGAGGAAGAACACTTCCTCATCTTTAGTTTGAATTTGCTCTTGCATAAGTAAAAAATTCTTTAGTTAAAAGAAAGAAGAGAAAATAATTTTAGGTTTACAAGAGCAAGCAAAGAGGCAACAAGAGGCTTGTCTGTTTAACTTAACAGCATTCATCAGGAAGAAGGGGCACATCTTTTCTGCTTGTCCTTTATCCCAGAGGGCTTTGTCCACTGGATGTCTTTGATTACCAGTATTGCCATAGGTCTACCTAAGAACACATTGGTGAAAACATTCAGGCAGGTCTGGAAAATAAAATAACCAACAGAATTACAAATGCTGATAATTCCTGACATTGGCAGTGGCAGATATAAAAGCAAATTGTCTTAACTATTATTTGATAATAACAGTAGAATATTGCTATTACATAGGATCAAGAGCACCACAATATGTCTCCAGTCCTTAGCGAGATATATTAGAAAAATAGGCATGATAACTTTAGAAATTATGATTTGTCTGTCCCTGCAAGTTTAATTTTCCTTGGATTAGACTGACCAACTCTGAATTCACTGATCTTACCTGTTAAAAAATAATAGCAATAGGCTGCATATCTGAATCCCATTTTTAAAACTTGTTGTTTAACTAAACTTTTTCAAAGCATTCTGCTCAGTTAACCGCATACTTTTTCCACTTTCAAGCTTTAACCACAAGAGAAAGCTCTCCATCTAAATTATATCGTTTGGAAGCTGCTTTCTAAAATTCAGCCTTTTCTGTGATAGTTTCCTGAAAAGGGTTGTCACCTACACTGTAAATCCTTTTTACTTCAAATCACTAAGTTCACTGAATGCATATAACTCCAATTAACTGCAGCCTGCTGGCTCAAATGCAATTTGGTCTCTAATTAATTACTCAGGTAAACACAGGAAAAGCTCTTTTAGTTTGCCTGCATTCACAGAACAAGCAAACACCCCTGTCTTTGATGATCCAAAACAATCTTGTCTTTTGATGCTTATCACTTAGTTGTTGTAATTAAAAACAAAGACAACATACCCCTATCACTGTATCCCCCTATCGCTTTTCTGAGTTACTGTTAATTGTAAAGCTTTCAAAATTACTCTCACAGTGCAAAGCTTATAGAATCATAGAATAGTTAGGGTTGGAAAGTACCTTAGGATCATTTTATTGCACTTTAGTTCACAAGACTATTTATTTAATCTCTCTCCTTGCGGATTAATTCTCTTGAGTCTCACAATGGGATTTCTGGAGGTGAAGTTTCAGTTAAAGCTGCTAGGAAGTTTTTCTTACTTTGTTTTTTGTTGAATATATGTAAAATTGAAGATATTGTTCATTTTTTTATTCAAAGGTGAAAATCAGCTCTTCTAAAAATCCAGATCTATTTATGATACTTACAGATATATTTATGATACTACTTATAATACTTAGCAAGCCATTTGATCAATTTGTTCTGTCTTTCAAGATGGGGAAAAAAAAAGCTAAAATGTTACTATTTATCTTAATTTCAGATTGATTCTAATTTCACATAGAGTAAGAAGAGGGGTAGAGGCATTAGGAAGTGTATCAATATAAAAATCTAAGTAAATCCAAGCAAATGCAAAACCAGTGGACAGAAACTAAAGCATCCAGTACAATCATGCCAAGGAGCCAATCTGAAGCTACCAAGGGCTTCAGAAAATAAATTGAGCAGTGATATGGGCATACAAGAAGTAATTATAAAAATTAATGGACTGTTATTCATCTAGGTTTTTTTGATGTTAATGAACAAATTAGTCTTGCGTGTGAGTGTACCACATCTGTTTGTGCCTTCATACACGGGAGAAACACATCCACATGTCACACAAGCTGGCTTGATTGCACTTTGCAGGACATATTTGTATACATTTTATTATCATTTCTGTAAACAGCAGTTTATTTCAGTATGTTCCGTGCTCTCTGCCTAGGTCTTAATGGAAGTGTTAATTAGAAGCGCAGTAGGAAAACAATTTGTGCTTCTAAACATGTCTCGTGTATAGAGTTTGAGTAATGAGAAAAAACAGGCCAGAACATTTGTATGAACAGATACTAATTACTGTTTGAGTCTAACATGCTCACAGTTATTGCCAAGAGTACAGCACAGAACTATGAAGAAGACAGATGATAAGAGATTTTAAATAATCGTGAAAAAGGACCAAAGTCCCCAGTTTCCATAGAAGTAATTTTTATACATTTACCTGAAAGAAGAATGATGGTTTGCTTTCCTAAAAGCTCATTCTGTGTTGTCTTTAATTTCCTTCGTGTTCAGTATCTACTGAAGTCTCTATATACTTACCTTGATGAAATTCTTAGAAATCTGTGGTAGGAATTTACCAGATACTTACTATTCTTCCTTAAATGCAGTTTGCATGTATCCAAGTTTATACTTTCAGGTTTGTAAGAGCCCAGGAGAAATTTCTGCCCTGTCTTGTATTCCTAGAATTAACAGAATTTATAAGGAGAAACACAGTGATAACAGGATAGATT